CCCCCTGTCCCATTTGGAGGTTTTTTTAGCATATTGCGCAATCTTGTCCGCCATTAACGAATCAATTCGTAATTTTACGAAATTTCGTAAATTTCGAAATTTTTAAAAGGAAAATTTCGGAATTATTTAAAAAAAAAAACGAAATGCAAGGGCCCCCTAAAAACAAAACGAGTTTAGAACCAATTTTTTCCATGGTTACCCAAGCCTAGTAATTACGAATTGAAACAATTTACCCATTTTTCGGAATTATTTTCGTATGTCTGGTGCAAACTTTACAATCTCGCAGTTTCCCTGGCCTCCCTGGCGACAAGCGGCGATGCGGAAGGGCGAGGCACAGCTCTTCCTGAAGGCCACACCCCCAGTGGCCGTCAAGAAATGCTGGGCGTAGCCACGTCCACCTCGCCCTTCCGCATCGCCGCTTGTCACCAGGGAGGCCAGGGAAACTGCGAGATTTTAAACTAACAGGGGGGAGGGGCACCTTCCATTAACGAAGTAAACGAAGCTATTCAGATTTTTGCTATTTCCGATCTTTTTTTTCAAGAAAATTTGAGAAATAATTTTAAAATCGAAACGAGTTTAGAACCATTTTTTTTCTTGATCAACCAAGCCTAATAAACACATACATATTAGGCCTGGGTAACAACGGAAAAATTTGTTTCTAAAATCGATTCGTTTTTTGGGGGTTTTGCGTTTCGTTATTTAAAATAATTACAAAATTTTCCTTTTAAAAAGTTCGATATTTACGAAATTTCGTAAATGTGAAAAAAATTACAAAACATTAACGAATCGATTTCCGAAACAATAACGAATAGATTCGTTAATGGCGGACGCGACCGCGAAATACGCTAAAAAACCTCCAAAAACTTCGTTGGGCGGTTTCGTTTCGTTAATTCGTAATTCGTTAATAATTCGTTATTTTTTCAATTACAAAACGATAACGAACCATTCTGGAGCAATTTTTTTAAAAAACGAATTTTTAAACACGTTTTTTAAATGCTTCGTATTTCGTTATTGTATTCGTTTCGTTATTGTTCTGAGGTCGTTTCGTTATTATTTCCGCATGTCTGGGGCAAGTTTTTTGTTTAATTAGTGAAAAAAAATTATAATATCACACCAACAGTCAACAACAGAGGGAGAGGGAAGCTTCAGAAGTTTTTGGAGGTTTTTTAGCGTATTTCGCGGTCGCGTCCGCCATTAACGAATCGATTCGTTATTGTTTCGAAATCGATTCGTTAATTTTTTACCATTTACGAAATTTCGTAAATATCGAACTTTTTAAAAGAAAAATTTGTAATTATTTTAAATATCGAAACAAAACCCCCAAAAACAAATCGATTTTAGAAACAAATTTTTCCGTTGTTACCCAGGCCTAAAAAACCTCCAAAAACTTCTGAAGCTTCCCTCTCCCTCTGTTGTTGACTGTTGGTGTGATATTATAATTTTTTTTCACTAATTAAACAAAAAACAACCATAAAACTTGCCCCAGACATGCGGAAATAATAACGAAACGACCTCAAAACAATAACGAAACAAATACAATAACGAAATACGAAGCATTTACAAAACTATTTAAAAATTCGTTTTTTTAAAAAATTGCTCCAGAATGGTTCGTTATCGTTTTGTAATTAAAAAAATTAACGAATTATTAACGAATTACGAATTAACAAAACGAAACCGCCCAGCCCTAATAAATATGTGAGAGGAAGTCACAGGGTTAGTGTAGATATCTATATAAATAAAAATGTAATGTTCGTTTGTGGGATTAACAAAACTCAAAAACCACTCGACAAAATGACACCAAATTTGGCACCAAAACACATCCTAATCCGATCTATGTCTCTCACACAAAAAACCCATAAAAATGAAGGGGAAATAACTTAAAACTCCCCCAAAAGAAAAAATGCCTTACAGAGCATGCGCAAAAGCCCCTCTCCCTATTGTGCGAGAAGAATGAAAACTAGAGCAAAATGTGTTGCAGGATGTCCCACCCACAGAAACAAAGTTTTTGCAGTTTAATCAACTTTTTACCAATTAGAAAATGACATTTATAACCCAGGAACAAAAATCATGTTACATAGTGTAATCATATTGTGTCATCATAGAAGAGCTCCTAATACGGAGTGAGAGGAGTGGGACAAAGTACCTGGTCATTCGTGGGGCACACAGCCACGTTTTGTTCCTCGCTGGAGCAGGCCATCCGGATGTACTTTAACCAATTCCCATTTCCGGACTGGTTGGCATCGACACAGAATTTCTCAGTGCCCAGGTCATCGCTGGCCTGAAAGAGAAGAAGACAAGAGCAGAGGTTTCAGTAGAAGAAGGAGAACTGCAAGCATTCAAAGGTAGAGAAGGACAGAATGCAATCTCAGGTGGATGAAGGACCTGTACCATGAAATTGGCTACTTGGTACCATAGAAGGGACCTCAAAGGCCATTCAGTCCAACCATTAGCCATGTAGAAGCCCTATCTACACCAACAGAAAATACAATGTATTGTCGAAGGCTTTCATGGCTGGAATCACTAGGTTCTTGTGGGTTTTTTCGGGCTATAGGGCCATGTTCTAGAGGCATTTCTCCTGACGTTTCGCCTGCATCTATGGCAAGCATCCTCAGAGGTAGTGAGGTCTCACTACCATACAGGTTGAACTGCATTATATGGCAATGTAGATGGGACCGCCGTAGACTCATATAATCCAGTTCAATACAGTTCAGTCTGCATTGTATGAGTCTACACTGAGAAAAATGTATAATATCACAAAGGATTACCACCTTGCCCGCTTCATAAGAAATCTGTTACAAAACAGGAGCTTTTTTGTTGAGTTCCAGCATCAGAGCAGCGTGTCTGAGAGAAGCATGCTTGTGCCATCAATGTTCAACATCTACACAAATGACCAGCCACTGCCAGGAGGGACAGAGAGTTTAATCTATGCTGACGATCGTGCCTGTGCTGGTACGGCTGTACCAGGAGCTCCAACTTCTTTTCCTTTCTATTGAGTGTTTGCATGTATTCCAAAGTTCCATGCATTTTGCAATAAGGTGGCTTCCCTTGGTTTAATCATAGGGCCAATGACCCATCAGTTATCATTCTGTTCTTTGTGTTCTGTCCTCGGCTGTGTTTTCTGGCCAGATTAAGAGACAGAGGAAACAAGGGGTACCTCTAGTTTCAGTTCACACGGGACTAATGGGGGCGGCCTCGCGTTTCCTCTAACCGCCGAGAGTAAGTTGGTTTTGCAGGAACAGTTTTTTTAGCGCAGGTTGGTCGCTTAGTGTAGGCGCCTGTAAAAGTTGTACTCTGTAAGTAAGTGTCCCTGCGTATGATCTGTGTCCCAGCTTGTAGTATTGCTTGGAGGTCGGTCTCGCCTCGAAAATTCTCACACCGACATACGATCAAAAGGTCAGGCAGTCGTCGTTGAGTGCATACGCCTCGAGCTTGCTTGAGATCCTCGCTTGCTGTTTCGATCCTCTTCCCAAAGGGGCCGGGCCCTTGAGCCTCGCCTCGCCCCTCTCGTTCCTGCTCCACCCAGCCACCGTGGCGCGGATTTTCTCGGGTGCTGAGAAGGGCCATCGCGCACTACGCAAGCACTGAGCTCTAGTGTCCTAAATCGTTCTCGATCTACCTGTGTCGTGGTGTAGCACGTTACAACCCAACGGTGGATATGTGTCGTGGTAGTCAGACACACGCCTCGTCCGTAAGGTGGGGGCTGAAAGAAGTGACAAGAAACGGGCGCAGGCACAAACGGCGGAGGGGAAGAGAGCTGTACACGTACTGTGCAACTCAGCGTGAAAAGGGGCGAGCGCCACCTATCCTGCTCCCCAATCCACGGGTGGGCCAAGGGGCGGAGCCGCCGCGTCTGGCCCGCTTCGGGTCCGGAGGCGTGTCTGAAGACCCCAGCGTGTGCACCAAAAGTCACCTCTTCTCCTGACTTTCTCTTCAGCCATTGGGACCAAGAGAGAGAGAGAGAGAGAGAGAGAGAGAGAGACCCTCTGGCTGGAGGTATCTCCCACCTCCACTCCCTCCTTTGTTTTTGCGCCTACCTTCAGGAAAGGTGGGCATCTCCACCTCTCTCTCTCTCTCTCTCAGTCCCAATGGCTGAGGAGAAAGTCAGGAGAAGAGGTGACTTTTGGTGCACACGCCGGGGTCTTCAGGCACGCCTCCGGACCCAAAGCGGGCCAGGCAAGGGAGCAAGTGCGGCAAGTGTAGTTACTGGGATGTATAGTTCACCTACAATCAAAGATCATTCTGAATTCCACCAATGATTGAATTGAACCAAATATGGCACACAGAACTCCCACGACAAACAGAAAATATATATCAATGATTGGTTGGGGTGGGGGCAAAATACTGTTTGCTTACCATTGAAAATTACCTAGGGCCGCCTCTGCATGTACTTTGACAGAGGGAATTCTAGTTCAGTTCACACAGAGAAGCCTTTCGTACAGGACATGAATCAGTTCCACCTGTAGAAAGCTTCGTCTTTTACAGCTTTGCTGGGGGGATCCAGTCCCACAGCTCTACAGAGAACTACAGCATAGCCTTTGTTGGGGAATTTAGTTCCACAACTCTACAGCCAGCCTTCGCTGGGAATTGAAAGCCTTCTTTCCTCTTGGAAATCTACTAAAGGACTCTGTTTGGTAAGGACCACTCATGGCAGCCATAACGCAATTTGGACCGGGTGTAGGGGCCCACGCCAGCAGAGCTTAAGTCAGATTGCCCAAGGAGGGGTCAAGGATTTCCCTTGTAGAAGGAAGAAACAGTTTATGAAGAAAGTTGCCTGTCCCTTGTGGACAAGATTTAAGCAAGCCACCAGTTGATTCAAAGCCTTGAAATATTTGTTTGATTTATTGAAGATTTAAGCAACAATAAAAACTTTGTTGAACTTTCTAAGTCTTTAAAAGAACTTTGTGTGGGGAAATCCGAAAGGCCTCTCAGCCGAGGCACCCCTGGCATCCCGTTGGGCATTCAGAAAACACGTCCTGTCTACAGACTCTTTCACAGGCCCAGCGCATGACAGCACAGTGCCATTACTGCACAAGCAGGGAGCTTTGAAATAGTTGAACAGAAGCTTTCTGAAGATTTAGGTGCTCTATACAGAAAGCCACAGGGATTCCAACAACAATGGATGCATTGCAGACCAAACTTGGCACGTTGACTCATTGTGACCCACTTTAAACACTGGTGGAATGTGTGTGAGAGGGGGATTTACCAAGGATGATGGGAGTTATAGTCCATCCAGAGGCGGCCCTAAGTAATTTTCAACGGTAAGCAAACAGTATTTTGGTGCCCCCCACCCCCAACCAATCACTGATATATATTTTCTGTTCGTCGTGGGAGTTCTGTGTGCCATATTTGGTTCAATTCCATCATTGGTGGAGTTCAGAATGCTCTTTGATTGTAGGTGAACTATACATCCCAGTAACTACAACTCGCATATGTCAAGGTCTATTTTCCCCCAAGAGCGCCTCAAGAGCGCCCCTGGGCAAAATAAACTATACTGCAAAGGCTTACTTTGCGTAATGGGTTGAGCCGCCCCTGTGAGAGCCGTTCAGCAGTGGAACTCTCTGCCTCAGAGTGTGGCGGAGTCTCCTTCTTTGGAAGCTTTTAAACAGAGGCTGGATGGCCATCTGTCGGGGGTGCTTTGAATGCAATTTTCTTGCTTCTTGGCAGGGGGTTGGACTGGATGGCCCATGAGGTCTCTTCCAACTCTACGATTCTATGATTCTACTAGCCGTCCCCTGCCACGCGTTGCTGTGGCCCACCTGGGGGTTCTGTGTGGGAGGTTTGGCCCAATTCTATCGTTGGTGGGGTTCAGAATGCTCTGTGATTGTAGGTGAACTATAAATCCCAGCAACTACAACTCCCAAATGTCAAGATTCTATTTTCCCTAAACTCCACCAGTGTTCACATTTGGGCATATTGAGTATTCGTGCCAAGTTTGGTCCAGATTCATCATTGTTTGAGTCCACAGTGCTCTCTGGATGTAGGTGAACTACAACTCCAAAACCAAAGGACACTGCCCACCAAACCCTTCCAGTATTTCTGTTGGTCATGGGAGAACTGTGTGCCAAGTTTGGTTCAATTCCATCGTTGGTGGGGTTCAGAATGCTCTTTGATTGTAGGTGAACTATAAATCCCAGCAACTACAACTCCCAAATGTCAAGATTCTATTTTCCCCAAACTCCACCAGTGTTCACATTTGGGCACATTGAGTATTCATGTAGAGTTTGGTCCAGATCCATCATTGTTTGAGTCCACAGTGCTCTCTGGATGTAGGTGAACTACAACTCCAAAACTCAAGGGACACTGCCCACCAAACCCTTCCAGTATTTTCTGTTGGTCATGGGAGAACTGTGTGCCAATTGGGTTCAATTCCATCGTTGGTGGAGTTCAGAATGCTCTTTGATTGTAGGTGAACTATAACTCCCAGCAACTACAACTCCCAAATGACAAAATCAATTTTTTGGAGTGAAGGACATACATTGAGTTGTTAGGTGTCTCGTGTCCAAATTTGGTGTCAATTCGTCAAGTGCTTTTTGAGTTCTGTTAATCCCACAAACAAACATTACATTTTTATTTATATAGATGATTCTACGAGCCAAACACCTCCCAAGATCTCATTGCACGGAGCCAAGAAGGTTCAAACGATATCAAACTGCAACAATCCTGCGGTGTAGATGCACCCATGGGTTGATCACACAAAAGCTGTGGATTTCTGCTTGAACGAAAGAGCCGAATCTCAGCGAATGAGCGACTCTTCTTGCAGATGGTCTTGTAAATCTTCAAAGACACGAACGCGAGGCGTGAGGAAACAAAGAGAAGGAGGCATTGACCTTTGGAGGTGTGCGTTCCCGTCCCTTCTTCTCAGCTCTCATAGCAAAGAGAGGGCAAACTTCGGCGTTGGTTCTTCACACAGGAAAAGTGACACGCCACGTGAGAATATTATCAACAGGCAAGGAGCCAAGAAGGTTCTCACACCAAAACCTTCCCGCAAGTCTCAAAGCATATGCAACATCCCCAGTTTGATCACTGTATTGCTACTCAGTAAAGAACACAGTTTGGAAAGGAGGTTATCATCCTAGTACGGAAGGACCCTGTCTTTGCTTGGCTGCATCTGCACTGTGTCACAAAGGATTACCACCTCACCCGCCTCATAAGAAACCTGCTACAAAACAGGAGCTTTTTTGTTGAGTTCCTGGGCCAGAGAAGGGCCAAAGAAGCAGATGGCGAAAACGGGATGAGCTGGAGATGTCTCTGCCTTGGTCCTTTCACTATTGGCTGCTA